AAACTCCTAGTATCTCCCTTACAAACCCTCATAGTAGTCCCCTTTATAGTCCCCTAAATAACCCCCCTTTAAGGAGTTTAGTTTATAGCTCATATGAAAGTTGTAGCTCCAAATTCCCTCCACTGAATCCTGGTCAAAGACTCAATCCGTCTGTAGTTCCCTATACTCCCTAAGGTCCTGAGACCGCAAACCAGGTTTAGGGTTTAGGATTTTAGAGTTAACCCTATACTTTAAACCCTAAACCTACTTTAGAGATATCCACTGACATCTGAGCAAAGCACGCATAAGGCAAACTCCAGGGCCCTGTCGCCCATCAGGTCCGCTAGCTTCTTCGCCTCTTGTCGCACCGGACAGCGGGTCCATGGATTTAGGCTTTAGGGATTATGGGGGATATATTGGGGCTATATAGGGATAATGAGAAAGAAAAAAGAAACTAATATGTTGGGTTTAGGGTTTAGGGTCTGGGGTATTTGCGGAGAGTTTAGGGATCATTGAGTAAATCAGGTCTTTTCTTGGCATCGGGGTTTAAAGAGCGGTTGGTAGAACTGTAGAACTCCCACAAAACAGGCGATAAGATTGAGGTTCAAGAACTCGCTCATGGTGGGAATTCAGAGACTGGCTGTAAGAATACTGGTTTTCATTGTCCCCTTCCACAATGTCCATGTCGACGTGGAATTCGCGAAACCAATACCCGAAGTCCTCCTCTCCCTAGATGACGCGGAGGCCCTCCCAATAATGTAGACCCTTGCTTCATAAACCCCTCCTCTTAAAGGCCTCAATATTAGGATCCCTGTTATAATCCGTATTAAGGGGAGGGGGTTATGAATCATGGGTCTACATTACCCTATAATATACCATAATATACCATCATATACTATGATATACTATAATGTACCCATCAAGGGGTCTACATTAGTCAGCTTCATATTGGCTCCAGCACAGCAGGCTATGCTTGGTGGTTCCCACCATCCGGGCCATGTCTCGCGAAGCCTGTCCCAAGTGACAAAGCTTGAGCCAGCCCGCCCCACTACCCAAAAAAAGAAAGGGAATATAGGGGATATATAGGGGTTATATAGGAATAATGGAAAATACAATGGAAACAACTATTTAGGGTTTATGGTTTATGAGCAGCTTTGAAAAGTGAGCCCCCTTGTCACGTCTCGTCTAATATAGCCGGACCTTACAAAGGCAGCCACACTTCAGAGCAAACGCACATATTCTTTCAATCCTGTTCTGGAATGTACTGGAATTCCACACAAGTTCGTTAGGAGAAGGATTCAGGCTGTCTTGGGCTGCATCACAATGAAGGAGGGTTTAGGCTTTATAGGGCTTATGGGGAATGTCTCTCAATCTTGTAGACACTGAGTAGTGATCCTTTCTCAAGCTGTACTGTATTAGTACAGAGTTATGTTTAAGATTGTTTAAGAACTGTCATGGTGTGCTGAGAACTAGGCTCGCAGTTTTATACGGATTGCCAGACCAAACTGCCCAACAAGGATCATGATGATCTGACCTAGCTGAACTTCCCTGGAACGCATCTTGACAAGGCGATTTGTCTCACCAGTACTTGAACGGGAGCAGGAGAGTGCATGTAGGTACATCTTTTGCACATTGTGTAGGGACTTCTCGTTTCACACAAATATTACCATCCCACCCTCCCCCCCCAACCCCCTACTATTAACTAGCCGCCCGCAAGAAACCTTGTATTTTGGGGGCCATATTTGATGTCAGGGGTAGAGGAAGTTAAGATTCCCTGAAGGTCCACGGACTCAAATACAGGGGTGTTAGAGCCCATGTACCATTCAGATTATGATATACGTGCCCTAAAGCCCGTTCTTTGAGTCCCTGTGCCCTTAACCCTAGACATCTCCGTAACCCCTTCAAAGGACCCCACTATTTGAGTGCCTGGACCCTTAGGGCTACTATAGGAATCCAAGCCCCTACCGTCTCGAGAGCTGCGGTAAGTTGTGTTCTGCCAAGCTTTCGTATAAGTAGGTGTTGGGGTTTGGGGTTTAGGAATGTTTGGGTCCCAATAAGTGAGAATCAAATTGTAAATGACATGGAAAATGAAACAAGTGGGGTGATATAGTATACTGTATATAGGGGCTTCTAGCTGAACTCCTTAACGACATCCTATCCACTCCAAAGAAACGGGCACCCCTAAAAAGGAGGCATTCCTTTGAGACGTAGTCACAGCCAAATTCGTAATACACATTCCCTACATCCGCAACCCTGACCCTAAACCCTGAAGCCTTTATCCCTATTCCCTAGCCCAAATCCCGAAATAAACCCTAATCCCTAAATCCTAAACCCAAATCCCTCAGCCCCAATCCATGGACCTGGCCCTGAACAACTAGGACGGGATAAACGCCCTCCCCCTCAACAAACATGGGACGCCTCCCTGTACAGAGTTGAGGGTTTTGGGTTCAAGGCTTATGGACTGCAGCTTTTTGAGGGCACCCTGTGGGGTTCGGGTTTGTTTGAAGATGTGCTGTGTCTGCACACTGTCTTATCACCATGGACTTTCTCATCTTTAGCAGGAATTCGGGGATCGCTCAACATGGGTATACTCTTGGGACCCAGGAACATAGGGGAAAGACGAGAAGATGGTGGTGGTGCTTATGGAAGAATAGGAATCCCATAGAGCCTCCTTTTCGAAGGACAGTGGTAGTTGCAGGGCCACCCTTTGGACTCCATCGTATTTTGGGCAAGTGCCAAGTTCATGCCAAATGCTATGACATCCCGACGACCCCACGCAGAAGCTTTCAACCCTAAACCCTAAGAGTAACCCCTACCTGCAGGGGGTGTTAGTAAGCTACTTTCAATCCATCCGCTTGCTTATGTGAATTTTTGCTGGCCCGTGAACCCTATAAACCCTATATCCTAAACCTTCATCCATAAAGTCTAGACCCTAAAATCCAAAACGCTGATGCCCTAGACAAGGAATGACCAGAATATCCTAAACCCCAATATTGTAAGCCTAATATCCTAAGCCCTAATATCCTAAACCCTAATCATCTAAACCCTCATATCCTAAACCGCAAGCCCTAAACCCTAAAACGCACAGAATCAGTCCTCATTGGCTTTGAACACGGCATCATCGCTGTTGTGCCGGATCTGCAAGGAGGCAGTAAGGTTTAGGGCTTAGTTAGGAGCTTGCTCTAGAGGTCCAGAGAACTCAAACCAGGGTGTAGGGTTTGTAGGGTTCAAAGGCAGTACTTGTATAGACTTCGACTGACAGGAATTCGGGTACGCTTCCTCGCGTACCGAATCTGTTTTCAGTCGCCAGAACCCGTCTGCGGTCCCAAAACGGGGCTCAACAAATGCAGCAAAATCTCAAAACCTTGATGCGGTCTTCAACACAAAACCCATAGTAGAAGTCCGCATCTTGACGAATACGCACAGACGAAAACCTGATTCCTTGTGGTTAACATGTCCTTTCCTATTGGGTCTTACAGCAAAAAAACTGAATCATATTCAACAATGATCCCGGCACCTTCAGCCAAAAGGAAGTTGAGTGTGAGTAGGCGATGATTGTCCATTCCATTAAGCCATATAGTAAGTAGGCTCTGAGGTTATAAGACATATGTTCGTGTAGATAAACAAGACTTCACTGCATAGGTGACATGGGCTTCCGAGGGTTCTAAAAGCCACACATGAGTGATGCCCTGCTCCAAATACTAAACGCACAGACACTGTGATGAGTACGTTTGCAACAATATGCAATTGCATGTAGAGAGATATACCCCTAAACTTTATTCCTGGTGCTATGGCATCACATGTAAAGATAAAAACTTTGCTTAAGGGAGGCTCGAACTCTGGGTGGTTGACATTTCACCGCGGGGGATCTCAATAACCCGCTGTCGAGCTTGTAGGGTTTACAGGCTTGGGGTTTAGGTTTTCAGTGTTCAGGGTTTCAGGTGTTTATGTAGGTTTTGGGACAAGGGGCTTGCTTGATGCTCAATATCCCGCATTACCGCGCGAATGCTGCACTGATCACCGTATAGCAGGTCATGCAGGATTTTGTCTATCAACATTGTCACACAGGCACGTGTAAGCGAAGGGCTAGGGAACTGAGGGTTCGACCGTCCAGAGACAAATTTGGATCTCAAAACCAACCGGACAAGTTCCTTTTTGGGATCCTCTTCAGCTCGTTCCACGTTGGGACCATTCAAAATCATGGTTCACATTCCTTAGCGTGTTTGTGGGAAAAAACATAAAACATTGTCAATGATGACCCAGTACTTGCAGTTGCCCAACCACTGTTCGTACAAAAATACGACCTTGGTCTACAAGATTGACAAAACTCCCCAGGTGCAAGGCAACTTGGGCCACAGAGAAATTTCAATGTCAACCATTAGGGTTTAAGGGAGCATGTACCTACATGCGCCATTGTCTAAATTCCTCGGTTCTAATATCCCCTTTGCAACCCCGAATTACAATACTCCCCTATATAATGCCCAATATAACCCCCTTGAAGAAGTTCAGACCCTAAACCCTTAAATTTTAACATTACATAATCCCCTATATAACCCCCTTCAAAGGAGTTTAGACTCTAGCTCACATGAACCCTTCTGGTTTGTAGGAAAAAGTGATCCAGCCTTATCCGCCTCCGCTGCGGCTTGCATCGCGTAGGCTCGGCCCTTTTGGCAAGGGCAAAAGTAGCCTCCTCCCTTGAATATCAAAACCACACCCCTAAGTTTTGTCAGGTTTTCTAGGACAGATTGTTATAATGGTAGATAGATCAGGGCGATAGCTTTCTTTATAACGAAGGGTCTTAAACTCCAAACCCTAAAAAGTGGGTTGATTCGCCCTTGCCTCAGGGTGGGGTGTTGGGGAGGACTTGGAGTTTGGAGGTTCATGGGAGTTAGAAACTACGTAAACCTTGGGTTGTAACCCCTCAGGTGGGGGTCAGAGGTTTGGGATGTCGGGTTCAAGTGCTAAGCCCCTAAACCCTAAACCCTAAACCCGTGAACACTAATGCCGTGAACACTAGAACCTAAACCCAATTTCGGAAAGCTGCGTCGGCTCTGTCCATGCTGGTGTTGCAGTAAGGCGACTAAATCCCTGGTGGAAATCAGTGCAGGGACCTTAACGGCTAGGGTTTACGGTTTAGGGTTTCCATGTACACTGTACCTTATGTGACCCCCTTTAATGAGTTTAGACTATAGCTCATCTGGGATAAGGGTCAAGTTTCCGCGGTATGCAGTCTGATGTCAATGTCACCCCACGGATTGTCAAAGTGCAAAAGACATTATGTTGCAAAACTTTGGAAGTGACTGGAAGCTGCTGTTAAGGATAGGGCCGAGGGTTTAGGGCAAGGATAGAATGGGGGGTTTCCCAAAATTAGGGGTACCCTTTTGGGGTCCCTATACTAAGGACTATAGTAGTATATTGGGATCTATATTGGGGTACCCCTATTTTGCGAAACTACCATATTACGGTTACCATAGCATGGAAATATCATAGGCAACATGTTTTTGCGGAAATGTCAAGGTTAACTCCTCTAAAGTACCTTAGCATCAGCCCAGGATTCTGGCATACTGCGCTACACTTTTCTCAGGACTGTGAGAGGACGAAACAAGAATCAGCGAGATCGAATGCTCAGTATTCCTTACTTTTCGTCCGCCTGTTCTGGAACAGCTCAGTGTCAGGAAGAGCAGATATTAAAGAAAGAATGACGTGAAACAGAGCACATGCAACACGCACCAAACATCTCCCTATGGGTCCAAGGACTAAATAATAGGGTTTTAGGGCCCAAATATTACAATATATTACAATATCAATGGTATTTGGGATCTGAAACCCTATCATTCGGGTCCTCGGACCGAAATTGTAAAATTTGGGCCCTAAAACCCTATTATTTGGGTCCTTGCACCCTTAGGGTCTTGAAAAGCCATCGGTACGCCTGACAAGCTGGCCATGCGATAAAGTCACTAGTGCTTATGGGCGAGTGGGGGGAAACAAAAGAAACGCTTCAATTTATGCAATACATTGTACTATCCTATGCTATGTTATACTATACCACACTTCATTATACTGCACTATATGGTATTGCATGGTTGTGGGGATTCACTTCGCCATTGCGCCTTACGCACCAGTAATAAAAGTTGTTGAGTGATCTGGGGTTTAGGATTAAGGGTTCAGGGTTGTGTTTACAATGGTCCAACAGACGCTTTTTATGTCGACAGGAACTGCGGTTTTTGGCGATCTGTATATTCACTACGTCAATAGTTGAAGGCCCCAAACATGCGTGTAATACTACAAAAGCAGTAACACCATGCTAGTAGTGATGGCGATGTTCATACTGCAAATGAAAATGGTAATAGGTGACTTCTCAGGCCAACTTTCTTCGAGGGGGCGCAGATGGGATCC